AATAGTAATACCAGGTGTTTCTTTATATATCTACATTCAACATAGACTGACTGAACAGCCAGTGTTTCCGTCGGTTGACATGTATGAAATGTTCGTATTAAAACAGATTTTATGGAAAATGTATTTCTCATGTTCAATAACATGTTGCTCTTTCAACTAGTTTTCGGGGTTTCTTTCTTAAAATTTCCTTCCAAGTAGTTTAAAATATCAACATCTTTTATATCATTATTATCTCTTTGAGACAGATGTGCTATTTTACTTGTTGGATACAGTTGACAGTCTAGAAGTTTATGAACGGATCGCGTCCCACGCATAACGCCCATGGAAAAAAAATCTATATCTGACAGCTATTTATGAATACGATTTCGTCGATAATGTTTGGGATTTGCATCATCTTGCGGAGGTGGATAAAATTATCCATAGTGCAGCCTATTCTATTAATTTCTCTTATTTTTATACGATATCTTTTACTGCAGATTCATGCACCGTGGTATTTGAAGTTTTTAAAATTTAATAATTCCATATACTAATTTTTTAAGATTTATTAAGGCTATGTGATAGAACTGGATTTAAGAACATTGCTCAAACGAATAGTGGTCTAAGGAATACTCATCTGAGGACATTGGTCTATGGAATATCCGTCCAAGGACCATTGTTCTATAATAATATATTTTTTTAAATAAATTAACACTTTATTCATGTAATAGGGACCCAATTTTATTAATATTCACTGTATTACTTGATAATATTTAAGGTACCTACAGCAACATAAATTGCTGATGATACATGTGATTAATTAGTATTTATTGGCATGCATTGTGTATATATTAACACTAACACATGAGACCATAATTCTTCGAGACGAATATTTCTTATACGTATATTTTTAGCCGAGTTTTCCTTAGACTAATATTCCTTAGACTATGTTCTAGATGCCGACAAAATTGCACTTATTTTAATTCCAGATCATAGGTTCTCTTTTGGAAAAGTTTGTCAACAGTCCTACTTCCTGGAACGCTTGGTAGAGTGTATTTCTCGTTAAATATCATCCTTATTCCAAGCATGAATAACTAAGCCATCGACATTTCTCCACTTTTTTCAACAGCTCCCTTGGGAGAGAAAAAAATAAAGTTATTTCAATTAGTAAATTCGTTCGTCTGATATAAAACACTGAAATAATCAGAACATCTCTATGCATATTTACTTCTATAATATATATAAAATTAATTAGATTTGGACTGGCATGTATCATACCAGCAGAAGAATGTACGTTGTTTGGACATTTTAATATTAGATTTCATGAGCACTCACTTGTTTTCGTTCTTCTTCATAAAACATTTTCATGGTTCAATGGTTGCCAACTAAATAAGCTCACTGAATTTCGGAAATTGTTTCCATATATAGTCACTTCATACAACGACGCAAGAACTTCTATCATTAATGAAATGTCGATGACACAATCTATTGATTTTGAGTCATTGAAGCTGTAAATCTTAATGCTCTGATATTGTCACACGAAGGATTTTATTAAACATATCTTCTCATTCGTTTTTACTCTTAGTGTCTGATTTTCTTAGATTAAAAATTATCACATGTATTTTAATTATGTTAATACAACATTGATAACAAGGTGACGTCATCTAGCCTTATTACTAAAGTGAGATCGTTCCTCTCTAAATGTTCGACATTTGCAGTGAAAGACCGACTAAATTGAATATTTGGATATGTTCAAGCCTTTACTTGTATCTACAAGTCTGCAGACTTTTAGTTAAATATATGGTAATCATACTCCGCTACTTTTAATCATTTGTATAAACAGCAAGAGAGAAAAACATTGGGTTTTAAATTCAAATTTCATCCGCTTAAGCTGCATTAGAGTCAAGAGTAACCAGCGTGTCTCTTTTTTCCTCCATGGGGTTTAGAAAAAGCTGGGTCAGATCCTTGTTCCTAGGCTAATAGTGCAAATTGCTTTCAGCTCGCATATACTATTACCCGTAATTTTATCCTTTCGTATACCTGCACATCATGACTACAAATCTATGCTTATTAACACGTCAAATCACTCGCTTCTTACCATTATTTATATTCTTCGAACTCTTATCCTAATCTTCATTACCATATTCACAACGTGTCGGCCATTGTACGCGAGGGCTCTCTCCAGGTGATTGGAATTTCTAACCGAACCATTTATTTCATTCACCGGGGTAGATTGTTTTAGTTCCACGTCCCATGCCTTTTCCAGATGTCTTGGTTATTTCCTTTTAACTCGACTTTCCAAGTTTTTTTGGTTCACTACTGCTGTTGTCTGGTTTTGAATTCAACTCTTTTGAGTCTAGTCACTGGATCTAACCAACGCCTTTATCCACTGTGAATATGGCAAGAAAGATGAGGATAACAGTCCGAATAATGTAAATGTAAATAATACATACTACCTCATCTCTGACATATAGACAGATAAAAAAGCGTTCTCTTTTATTTCATCTGCATGATTGTCTATGTATGAAAGATAAAATATCGAAAAGATAAAATACCTGATAAATTGGAAATCATTTTCAGATATAAACCAGAACCTAAAATAAAGAATGTATTGTCTGTAATTTTGCTTAGAATCATTACATTATCGGACATTCTGGGGCTCAAATCCTGTTTTTATTTTTAGATTTATAAAGAAGCGATTTCAGCGCAGGAACAAGGAAAAGTATCGTCGACATTAATGCCGTATTCAGGAATAGCACGGAAATTTTTTTGATTATAATTTCCATAGAGAAAATTATTTTTTACATTGTTATTGCTATCAGGTGTGAGGGATTATGTTTACTTGAACATGTCTCACACAGGTGGTTCGTAGACAGTTCCAAGTGTCTGCATTTATCATTAAGTTATCGTCACAAGGCATCTCGTTGTCGGACAATAGTAAGATAGTTCGTTTCGAAGAACTTACACTGAAATGCATTCGATTCTCACTGCCTGCCTCACATTTTGTGCCGTACTGATCAAAACTCCTTCCGCTCACAGCATGTTTATAAGCAATGAATACTAGTTGAAATTTCGTAGGCTGACAATGGCTCTACAATTGAAATAGTTCCAGCAAAATCTTGCTAGCAACATTTCTGACTTGAGGTTGTTTTTTTTTCCTATTTCATATGAGTAATTGTTGTTCACGGCTTTCTCTTTTGTTACGATCCATGTCGTAATTCCCTCCCAACCCAGTTTGTTTTTGTCCCGTTTTCATCTCTACTGAGTTGGCATTCAATTTTCCCACTTCACCATTTATTTTGGCCTTTCCCCTTCGTTAGCTCGTTTCTTTATTCTACTTATATTTTTTGTGGGGTGGACTAACACTTTAGTTTTTAGTGTGAATGTTTTGTTATATTTCAGTTTCATTTTAGGAGTGTTAATCCCTTCCCTCTCATTTCATGTATTTAAAGTTTTGTAAGAAAATTCAAAAAATAAAAAATAGACATTTTTGGCCATTATGAAATTTTTATATCATCGTTATTTTTGTAGTTTTCATGTGAATGTGTTATATGTCAAATTGAATGGTGATGGGTGAGTTCTTGTGGTGAATGAGCAAATTGCAATGAATCTGATTAGCTAGGTTTAGGCGAGTTAATGTTCACCAGCCTCTACCTACTTCCTATGAAGCACTGCGCGACATTTTTTTCCTTTTTAAGCAGTAAATAAGCATTCCCGACAAGTGGTCGTATGTTGTAAGGAAATGACGCAACATTTTGGCTATCCAAATAAATTCTGAAATTAAAATTAATATGAATCAAGTCACGCATGATATCCTCAAATTAACCAAACCGTTTGGATCTATAAACGCTTGAAATAAAATATTCTAAGTTTTAAATATTATATTCTAAGTTGACTCAGCTTTCTTTTTACCTTGACCTAAATAACACCGTAATGTACACTTTGTACGTGTAAAATTACCAAAATGTACGTAAGATTTTTTTTTTATGTTGGACTGCTATTGAAAAGAAAGTCACCTGCCTAATTGCTAATTACAAATTTAGAAGAAGCATCTCAAGAAAAAAAAAAAACAAATAAGGTATTCAGTCGTTAATATCGAAACAGTAAAAGCAGGTGAAGACAAAATCTGACAAAGATAATGGAAATATATTAAATCAACAGTGTAGATAATACGTACTTAATCATTTGTTCTGATGGGAGTCCCAGCTGTATTATAAACATGTTGTACACGATAAAAATGTATTTTGGACTCTGAATGTTAAATGAAAACGGCTGGTGATTAGAATGAATCATTCAAATTCAGTCTTGCAGGTGTAAAATATCTGTTGTCTTTCTTGGCTCTACTTAAAGAAGGGAAACAGTCACATCTTTTAGATGCTTCAAGATTGATAATTTGCAATGAGAAGAAAGAAATATGGGCAAAAACATTCAACGTCTAGACACTACTTTGGTAGGCTGAAATGTTGACTGCAAAAACACACTCGGCTTTATTCGACTTCGGAAATCATTTCCAGCAAATACCTTCCCTGATTACATTAAGTTAGCTTATATTTAGTCTGATTTCTGATTCAATTGTGCAGTAATTGCTTAACAAAATATTCTATTAGATTGCAAACAAAATTATTTCCAGACAGCCTGAAAATATTTCTTTTTTCCTTATTCACAGTCAAGTGATTTGGCACAAATTAGCCAAAACTACTAAGCGTTCATGATAGAAAGACCAGACAAATAGGTGGTTTCGTGTCAGGAATTGAAGATAGTTTTTATTAAGATTACTAGATTGCATTAATTAATCGAAAGATGAAGAAACAAACTTTACCCCTTTCTTTTTATAGAACGTTCCAGGTTATCGAAGAACGGGTGGCAATTAATTTGGTTTTGTGTGCTAAGGTATGGAATGATCGAAATATTATGAAAACAAAATCAGCGAAACATTTTTTTGAATTCTGACTGGGACTGCTTTTATTAATGCCTTTGCAAATAAGAATATCTATCTACTAATCTCAAACTCTTCATTTCTTTGTATGTATCTTTCATCGTATCTATCTCAGTCACTCTCACTTGTTTTTTGTCCGTATCTATCTCAGTCTCACTCTCTCTATATATATTTCTTTGTCCGTATCTATCTCAGTCTCACACTCTCTATATATATTTCTTTGTCCGTATCTATCTCAGTCTCACTCTCTCTATATATATTTCTTTGTCCGTATCTATCTCAGTCTCACACTCTCTCTCTCTATTTCTTTGTCCGTATCTATCTCAGTCTCACACTCTCTCTCTCTATTTCTTTGTCCGTATCTATCTCAGTCTCACACTCTCTCTCTCTATTTCTTTTTCCGTATCTATCTCAGTCTCACACTCTCTCTCTATTTCTTTGTCCGTATCTATCTCAGTCTCACACTCTCTCTCTCTATTTCTTTTTCCGTATCTATCTCAGTCTCACACTCTCTCTATTTCTTTGTCAGTATTTATCTCACTCTCTCTTTATTTCTTTGTCCGTATTTATCTCACTCTCTCTCTTTCTTCATAATCTATCTCACTCTCTCTCTTTCTTCATAATCTATCTCACTCTCTCTCTTTCTTCATAATCTATCTCACTCTCTCTCTTTCTTCATAATCTATCTCACTCTCTCTCTTTCTTCATAATCTATCTCACTCTCTCTCTTTCTTCATAATCTATCTCACTCTCTCTCTTTCTTCATAATCTATCTCACTCTCTCTCTTTCTTCATAATCTATCTCACTCTCTCTCTCTTTCTTCATAATCTATCTCACTCTCTCTCTTTCTTCATAATCTATCTCACTCTCTTTCTTCATAATCTATCTCACTCTCTCTCTTCATATCTATCTCACTCTCTCTCTTCATATCTATCTCACTCTCTCTCTTCATATCTATCTCACTCTCTCTCTTCATATCTATCTCACTCTCTCTCTTTCTTCATATCTATCTCACTCTCTCTCTTTCTTCATATCTATCTCACTCTCTCTCTTTCTTCATATCTCTCTCTTCATATCTCTCTCTTCATATCTCTCTCTTCATATCTCTCTCTTCATATCTCTCTCTTCATATCTCTCTCTTCATATCTATCTCTCTCTTTCATATCTATCTCTCTCTCTTCATATCTATCTCACTCTCTCTCTTCATATCTATCTCACTCTCTCTCTTCATATCTATCTCACTCTCTCTCTTCATATCTCTCAATCTCTCTCTCTCTTCATATCTCTCAATCTCTCTCTCTCTTCATATCTCTCAATCTCTCTCTCTCTTCATATCTCTCAATCTCTCTCTCTCTTCATATCTCTCTCTCTCTGTCTCTCTCTCTTTCTTCATATCTCTCAATCTCTCTCTCTTCTTCATATCTCTCTTCACATCTCTCTCTCTTCATTCATCTCTCTCTTCATATCTCTCTCTTCATATCTCTCTCTTCATATCTCTCTCTTCATATCTCTCAATCTCTCTCTCTCTTCATATCTCTCCCTACATATCTCTCTCTTCATATCTCTCAATCTCTCTGTCTCTTCATATCTCTCTCTTCATATCTCTCAATCTCTCTGTCTCTTCATATCTCTCTCTTCATATCTCTCAATCTCTCTCTCTCTTCATATCTCTCTCTTCATATCTCTCTCTACATATCTCTCTCTTCATATCTCTCTCTTCATATCTCTCTCTTCATATCTCTCTCTTCATCTCTCTCTCTTCATATCTCTCTCTTCATATCTCTCTCTTCATATCTCTCTCTTCATATCTCTCTCTTCATATCTCTCTCTTCATATCTCTCTCTTCATATCTCTCTCTTCATATCTCTCAATCTCTCTCTCAATCTCTCTCTCTCTTCATATCTCTCAATCTCTCTCTCTCTTCATATCTCTCAATCTCTCTCTCTTCTCTCTCTCTCTTCATATCTCTCAATCTCTTCATATCTCTCAATCTCTTCATATCTCTCTCTCTCTTCTCAATCTCTCTCTCTCTCTTCATATCTCTCAATCTCTCTCTCTCTACATATCTCTCTCTTCTCCCTCTCTCTCTTCATATCTCTCTCTTCATATCTCTCAATCTCTTCATATCTCTCTCTCTCTTCATCTCTCTCTGTCTCTCTTCTTCATCTCTCTGTCTCTTCATATCTCTCTTCTTCATATCTCTCTTCATATCTCTCAATCTCTCTCTCTCTCTTCATATCTCTCTCTTCTTCATCTCTCTCTCTCTTCATATCTCTCTTCATCTCTCTCTCTCTCTGTCTCTTCATATCTCTCTCTTCATATCTCTCAATCTCTCTCTCTCTTCATATCTCTCAATCTCTCTTCTCTCTTCTCTTCTCTCTCTCTCTCTCTCTCTTCTCTCTCATATCTCTCTCTCTTCATATCTCTCTCTCTCTTCTCTTATCTCTCTCTCTCTTCATATCTCTCTCTCTTCATATCTCTCTCTCTCTTCATATCTCTCTGTCTCTTCATATCTCTCTCTCTTCATATCTCTCTGTCTCTTCATATCTCTCTGTCTCTTCATATCTCTCTGTCTCTTCATATCTCTCTGTCTCTTCATATCTCTCTGTCTCTTCATATCTCTCTGTCTCTTCATATCTCTCTCTTCATATCTCTCTCTTCATATCTCTCTCTTCATATCTCTCTCTTCATATCTCTCTCTTCATATCTCTCTCTCTTCTTATCTCTCTCTCTCTCTCTCTCTTCATATCTCTCCCTCTCTTCATATCTCTCTCTTCATATCTCTCAATCTCTTCTCTTCTCTCTGTCTCTTCATATCTCTCTCTCTCTTCATATCTCTCTCTTCTCTCTCAATCTCTCTCTCTCTCTTATCTCTCTCTACTCTCTCTCTCTTCATATCTCTCTGTCTCTCTCTCTTCATATCTCTCTTCATATCTCTCAATCTCTTCCTCTCTTCATATCTCTCTGTCTCTTCATATCTCTCAATCTCTCTCTCTTCATATCTCTCTCTTCATATCTCTCTCTTCATATCTCTCTCTTCATATCTCTCTCTCTTCATATCTCTCTCTTCATATCTCTGTCTCTTCATATCTCTGTCTCTTCATATCTCTCTCTCTTCATATCTCTCAATCTCTCTGTCTCTTCATATCTCTGTCTCTTCATATCTCTCTCTCTTCATATCTCTCTCTTCATATCTCTGTCTCTTCATATCTCTCTCTTCATATCTCTCTCTTCATATCTCTCTCTTCATATCTCTCAATCTCCCTCTCTCTTCATATCTCTCTCTTCATATCTCTCTCTTCATATCTCTCTCTCTCTTATCTCTCTCTCTTCTATCTCTCTCTTCATATCTCTCTCTCTTCATATCTCTCTCTCTTCATATCTCTCTCTCTCTCTGTCTCTCTCAATCTTTCTCTTCATTCTCTCTCTTCATCGTTATTTCTTCATATCTCTCGTCTCATTGTGATATATCTCTCGTAGACGGATTGACTCAGGAAATCTCTTACTATATTTTTCTTCTCTTAAATTATCTCTCTACATATCTCTCTATATCAAATATCTTCTCTCATCATATCTCTAATAAGTGGCGGTCTCTTCAATCTCTCTCTTCATGTCTCTCTTCAATAATCTTAATCTTTCTTCAGTTTCTCTGTCTCTTCTTGTCTCTGTCATTTGGAAATAAATCTTGTCTCTTCAAATATTTCAATCTCATTCAGTCTTGTTTCATCATTTTGTACATACATGTAACCTCTGATATCTTCATTTTCTCTGGTCTTCAAATCTCTGCCTGTTTAATGTATATCTCTCTTCATAAACCTCTCTTCATATATCTCAATATAAGGTCTCTTTCTCTCGCTGTCGTTATTTATTCATATCTATCGTCTCATTGTGATATATCTGAACGTAGACGGATTGACCAGGAAATCAGTTACTATATTTTTTCTTCTCATTAAATTAACAGATCTGCATATATCATGATATATCAAATATACTTCACATCATCGTACGTCCTAATAAGTGGCGGTCGATGAATCCGAAGTTGCAGATGTCTTAGGAATAATGCTTAATATTTCTTAAGTTTCCAACGGACAAATCTTGTCACGTGTCATTTGGAAATGAAATATTGTGAGAAAAATATTTTCTATTTTCATTCAGTAGTTGTTTCGAACATTTTTGTACATACAGTGTAACCCGGATATAAGAGAGATTTTCTCTGGTCCCAAATTAGAGCCTGTGTTAATGTATATAAAATAGACCAAACCCGGATATAAGAGAAACCCAGATATAAGAGACACTTTCTCCGGTCCCGACAACTCTTACATCCGGGTTACACTGTATTACTTTCCTAACCAGACACTGTTTTTTTTCTGTGTTCAAGCTAAAATAGATTTCATCGTAAGTAAATATTTATTCATGAATAGGATGATCTACCAGTTATAGATTTTAAAAATCAAATTATACATACAAATGGGTTGTGAGATAAAATGACACTTTTCAGAGCAGACATCTGAAATAACAAATCATTTTCATACGTAATATTTTAAATGATTTATCAGAATAAAATAGAAAAGTTAACTGTGGACTAAACAGGTTTTCAATGAGTATTTTTAGGGGATATATACTATAAAGGCGATCTATAACTCAGACCTCTACACCGTGTTGACATGTAAGCGACTTGGGAGTGCGGACAGTTAACATGAGAATGTTCGTTGCCACAATTGGATTAAGAAATTATTTTTTTCAAGTAATGCTTACTTTTGGATCTGTAATTTAAGATACTGAAGTATAATATTTATTCATTTTATTTGAACTTGCATATTTTATTTTTGAAACAAACCTTTTCAAAAGTATGATTAAGAATTCATAAAATTAATGTAAATTTAATATTTTTTTTCTAAGATATTATTCTTCAACAAACATTAAGTAGAAAACTAATTCTTTCATGAATAATTTGTTTATCATTAATAGAACAAACGTACGTTTTTAAACAGAAAGAATGTTGAATATTTCTGTATTTAGTAAATAAATAGACTTTAAATATTAAACGTTTTTCACTGCGAAATTAATGAAAAATGACACTTATTAAAGAATGTATCCCAAAGTAAATGTCAAAAATTAGATTCAATAAATTTATTAATATTCTACAAGTGTTCTTTAAAAGTGGACGATAAAAATAAAGACTTTCATTGTCTTGTCAATATTGTATTTTGCTTTTTGAACTTTTTAAGATTTTAAACAGCAAAATTCACAGTAATTATTAAAAAATTTTGTCACAAAAAATTAATTTATTTTTTCTTCTTGCTATTATTATTGATAATAAGGAACATATTGATTATAAAATTAATTTTTCAGGAATGATTGGTGCTTTCTTTTTTACACGTGAAATAATGTTGATGCCATGCTTGTCAGAAAAATAAAAATGAATGTAAGTTTTTGCACTAACTTTCGCAAAATACTAAAGAAATTTGCGCATTTAAAAAAACAAATGTATTACAAAATCTTTGTAACATTTTTCTATGGTACTAGTCTTCATAAAATTCATTGAAATAAGTTATTTATTTATCATTTTAAAAAATGCATGTTGAATTTTACTAGCCTTGTGTTAAAAATGCGAATCAAAATAAACAGTTTAATATTTTAAAAATATATAC